CACAAGATTGATTGTATGTTGGTAAAAAATATAGGAAATAAGTCTTATTACATTCTGCTCTGAGGAACTGTCCATTTGGATAATTTTCTGAATAACACTTTACTATAAAATTTAAATTTTGATGCTTTTGACACTATTATTTCAGAGTTGATATTTTATTCAAATAATGTTACAGAAACTTAAAGATGTACGTGCAGAGAATTTTTTTCATAGCAGTTCTTTGGAAAATAAATTTGGAAATTACCTAAATTAGTAAAATCAATTCTAGTATGTTCTTCATGAGGAATACTAAGCAACAATTAATATGGAAACAATGCTCTGCAGAGACACCAGTTGAGACCCAATAATGTTCTTTTCTTTCACTAACAGAATCCCCAGTTTTGAGCTAGACATGTGGCAAATGCAGTAAACATTTTCTTTCTTTCTTTCTTTCTTTTTTTTTAACATTTTATTTCTTATGTTCATTATACCTAAGAGTTGTGCTGTGACTAAACTCTGGTAAATGGCTTATAAGCGTAAGTTGTTCCCTGAAAAGGTGGGGGTCTATGCTTTTTCCTCTCTTCTTTCTGGCTAGAGTGAGCTTTTAATGATGGTAATGGATGTAGCTCCGGCAGGCACCATGAAGCAAGAGGTGACCTGTGAATGGAAGGCACTCACTTGCCAAGTGACAGGAAGGACAGTGTGGGGGGCCCACATCAGGAAGCCTTCCCCCTTGGCCTAGAGCATCTTACCTATGTCTTTTGAACTTATCTTGTTTATATCACTGATTCTTTATGTAGCTCTTACTCAGCTTAATCCTAGGAGATTATTTTTTAAGAAAAATAAAAAGCAGATCATAATAGAGCCTATATAGTGTGTTTGCATGTAAATCTTTAAGTCTGTGTATGGAGAGAAAGAGTCAGAAAGGAAGCAAGATGGAAATAAGAGAACCTGAATCATCTGTGGGACACAAGTGATTTTCACTTCCCACTTTATGTAACTTTCAGTTCTGACTTAATATTTTTACACACTTGCTAATGTTCTCAACATTAAAAAAAAGAAGAGGTTTTAGTTTTTGTATAACTAGCCTTTGATTGAAAGTTAAAACAAATACAAACATGCAGATGTAGGTTGGTAATTTTAAAAACATAACATTTTTATAATTTTTACAAATTAATACTGAGGTATAAATTTAGATTAGCTTTTATTAAGTGAAGTCAGGTATAAGACATTTTAAGGTTCACAGAAAATACTATTGTAATTCATTGAAAATGACTATTATTATAGATATTTTATAACTTATTCTGTCAACAAGTTTCATTACTGAAACAAACAGATAACAATTTTTGAATCCTTACTCTATATTTTGCTCAAGTGAGTGCATACAATTTGGTTTGGAGATTTATTTCCTTTCTTCTGTCGAACATTAAATAATTGATAATGAAAAATAAAAAGATAGATAAAAATTCCATCTAAAAATATAAATATGTAATTTCTAAGTCAAATCAGTAGAACTTCACCACCTTCCTACATTGACCACCACAAGTTGATCTAATTTTCATAGATCAGACATGCACCACTTCAGTACAGCAGGCCTAGTCTCTCATGTGGGTCACCTCCATATGTTGACCAATTTGTTACAGTCCCTTGGGTTTTCAACATACAACGTAGTCTTATTAACAACATCATTTCAAGTATAGAAAAGATAAATAATCCTACATGACAAAGATGTCATACTAAGAATTTAATTACTTCTTGATATTAACCATGTATTAATACATGCATAAACTTATCAGTGGTTCAAATACAAAAATTATACTTTCCATTTCCTCTATTCTGTTCTACATGAATGCCTTAAATAACATTCATCCCTGAAAGGAAGAAAAACCATTGGTAAAACAGCAACATAAATATACATTTTATCAATAACTAAGAAAATGACACGAAGGCTATGTTAACCAGTTTGATGAAAATATTTTAAATTGTATATAAAAAAAGACACTGTACCCCATGACTATAGTAATATACACAGCTATGATTTAATAAAAAAGAAAAAAAAAACTAGCTGGCTCGGCACCTGTAGCATAGTGGTTATGGCACCAGCCACATATACCGAAGGTGGTGGGTTTGAACCTGGCCAAGGCCAGCTAACCAACAATGACAACTGCAACAAAAAATAGCCAGGCATTATGGCAGGTGCCTATAGTCCCAGCTACTTGGGAGACTGAGGCAAGAGAATCGCTTAAGCCCAAGAGTTGGACGTTGCTGTGAGCTGTGATGTCACAGCACTCTACTGAGGGTGACATAATGAGACTATCTCAAAAAAAAAAATAATAAAATAAGATAATAAAATAAAAAAACTAGCTTAAATCATTAGGAAAATATTTAATGATAAAATACTGGAAGCATTTAGACTACAATAATAATTTGGAATGGCCACTATCATTATTTTAATAACTTCTTTTATCTGGTTATATGGTAAATATAAAACTTCATGAATATAAAATAAAATATGTGAATATTGGTAAGGAAGAAACAAATCTCTAATTTTTAGATGCTAAATTTTACGTGTATGATTTTCAAAAGATAAAACAAGTGAAAGATTCTCCAGATCAATGTAAGTTCAATAAATCTACTAAACACAAGTTTACACATATTTAAGATTCAAGGGAACCCATCACTTTATTTTCTATACACTCACAGCAATAATCAAAAACTACAGAGGAAAAATATTCTCATACAAAATAGTAACAAGATATAATATGTCTAGGAATATCCTTATTCAAAAAGTTGAAGAGGGTATACAAAGAAATATGTAAACCTTTGTCTAAAGATAAAAAATAATACATGACTTAATAAATTCATAAAACAGGGGTCTAGATAATCAAAGGTACATATTTAATTTCTATTAAGTAGTCTTTAATTAATAGACCACTTATGAAATAGTTCTAAAATTCACCTGGAAGCATGTACTATATGAGAAAAAATAAGGAAATATAAACAAGGGAGGCCTAATGAAGATTATCAAACAATAGTTAACAATGTGATAGGATACAAGTTCTGACAGATAAGTCCATGCGTGTGACAGTAATGGTTTTGACCACAATCAATTATCCACTGGTGACAGGCCGTGGAATAGGGAAGCACACACTATTGTGCCTGCCCAGTGAGAGTCAGCTTTTACAGCACCTACCCCATACCTGGAAACAAGTCTCAGAGAAGTTAACTAATTTATTAAAAGTATCACAATTAGTAATTTGTAAATGTGGGATTTAACAGAAGGGGTCAGAAGACACCAAAGATGCTAATTAGAGAGATTACTTATCTGATTTTCTATTTTCTAGATCACATTTTCAGCGATGGAGGGTTTTTGTTGTTGTTGTTATTTTCTTCCCTGGAGGATTATCAGATTACCTGTTGTATGCTCATGTCAATTTTTTTGTGAAGCTTTTGAGTGGGTTTCAGTTCCTTACTAAAAAATTTCCTAATGTAGATACGAGAGTCCAGTATCTTTCTTCTATTTCCTTCCCAAATAGCCCATAGAACATCCTAAATTAATGTTAAAAGCAAAGTTACAATTAGTAAGAAAAAGAAGCATGATTCCAGTGGTATATCTTTGACAATTGATAACTTACTGAAAAAAAAAATCAACAGTACCCTCATCAGAGTTCAACATAAATGTATATAATTTAAAGAAAGGTAAATAAATCCATATAATGTATAGAAGGATAAGATATTTTAAATATATTTTAACAGTAAGAAAAATTGTAAGTGGTCATATAATATTTGAACTTAAAAAAATTATAATCAAACACAAAATGAAATAGAAACAGATTCCATTACTGAAAATCTGAACATTCCACTTCATCATATGATATCATACACAAATTTAATACTGAACAGCTAACTTAAAAATGTGATAGGACCGTAATAGAATATAGTTACAATATACAAAAATTTTATATAATTGGTAAGGAAAACATATATAACTTGAAATAAAATGGAAAAAGAATATTATCTTACAATTCATGCAAAAAGAACGTAGCTAATAAAGATGTTAGAAAGTCCAATGATGTCAATAACAAAAGGTATGCCACTGAAATTGACTACTTTCACCAATTAAATTAGTATAACAGTTTTAAAGGAGACATTTGTCTAGCTATCAGTCATTATCTTAATTTTCTTTTATTCATACAATTTGGAATAAAATTTTGACAATAATGTATCAAAAGATGTAAAGTATTCATACTTGCATCCAGGAATTTCACTTTTAGGAACACGTGCATTCATGTACACAGCTATGATTTAATTTAAAAAAAAGAAAAGAAAATGCACCCAAGCGCCTACACAAAATTCAAAGCATAAAACGTCCATCATCACATGGTATATAGGAAATAAGCATAGAAAATGACATTTAAAAGTAGGGTTAAAGTCAAATAATATGTACTATATATGCCTGATTGATATTATAAAGTAAAAAATATATTTAGGACATTTTTGTTACTATTAGTGATGGTTATGATAACATAATAGAAGAAAAAGACAAAATAAAATGTACAAAATAAATGAGCTATATAAAAATAAAGATTTTAGAAATAGAGTTTCAAAAATCATAATAAATGATTATTTATTAAAAAACTTTTTTTCTTTGTAATGCTTATTTATATACATGCTTTTTTGCAATGGGCATGAGTGACTTGGGATTAAAATGAGAAAATAAGCATAATTTTAAAAGAGTTTATTGGCTCAGCACCTGTGGTTCAAGCAGCTAAGGCGCCAGCGACATACACCTAAGCTGGTGGGTTCGAATCCAGCCCTGGCTCACCAAACAACACTGACAGCTTCAACCAAAAAATAGCTGGGCGTTCTGGCGGGCACCTGCAGTCCCAGCTACTTGGGAGGCAGAGGCAGGAGACTCACTTAAGCCCAGGAACTGGAGGTTGCTGTGAGCTGTGATGCCATGGCACTCTCTACCCAGGGGGACAGACAGCTTGAGGCTCTGTCTCAAAAAAAAAAGTTTATTAATCATGAATTCGGCAACAATATCAGCATTATTTTAGTCTGGTGTTTGTGAAGAGTGGGCAGTTGAGAAGTTTGGTATAAAAATACTCTTGATCAAAAATTAACCTTGTAAATATAGGTTCATACACACCATAATACCTTCATTGTCCTAGAAAAAGTAGAGATAAGAGAATATTAATAATTGGCTACTAGAGGGAAGATATAAATAGAACTAATCTCTATTATGACAAATACCTTTTCACATGGGTATGTATAGAGCTGCCGTCTGCAAGTGGGAAGATCTGTAGGGCCTACTGCCTCAGCACAGATTGAGCAGCTGGTCAGCTGAGGCTGTGGTGTAGGGAAGTCGCATCATAAACAGGGAAGGATGTGACTCAGCAAAACTGACTTTCTTCAGTGAGGAGGACAAAGACCAGCTATATGTAACATTTCCAACTATTTTATCTTGTACATGCAACAGAACCAAATATTCTCCACTCACAGCGCAGGTCCTAAGAGAAGTTAGAATTAACGTGTTTTGCACCTGGCTGCCAATGGACTTGCCATTTCCTACACAACCATTATTCTGTGGCCGAAGTCAAAGTAAACCAGGGGTTTCTCTGAGGGCCACCACGAAAAAGCAGATAATATGAGCCTCAGTAGCCCCTGGGCAGCTGGTACTCCATCATTATTCTTCATTCTGTACACACCCTCTGAATAGCCTCTGAGCAGGGAATGCCCAAATCCACTTCTAGGATACATTTACCTGCAATCCTTATGAGTTTTAATTCCCTGGGAAGAGGTAGAAATATCGTGTCATCGATACTCTTTCAATGGTGGGCATCTGGGTCACTATGTTTGGGGTCTCAAATGAACGCTGAACCTAAAGTAGTAAAGAAAGCCTTTAGAAATGGTCTAAAAGGAAAATTTGGAATCTTTTCTCAGGAAGGAGAAAATTTATAGTGTGTATTAAAGCTGTTGCTAAGTAGCATAAACAGAAGATACTTTTAGTTCCTGGGATATAGCACATTCTCAAATGAATTAAGTACTCTAAAAAAATAATTTCCACAGTGAGCAAATCTTTCAGAACCAGGTTATTGGGAAAATCCACACAGGTTCTAAACATAATAGGATTTCAAAATATTTCCTCTTAAAATAAACTTGGAGTACAGGAAGCATTAAAATGACTTGAGAGCTTTAGGATTCCTTATAAAAGTTTGAAAATGGGCCTACCAAATTTTCTCAGGCATAAAATTGAAAAGAAAAGAATATTCCTACCTTTCGAAAAATGTCCTCTAAATGATGACACCAAGAATACTCTTTGAAGTAGAAGATTAAGTTGGGAAATGAAGAGAGATCCTATGTCAAGCCTCCAAGAAACATTATCTGCAAATAAAAGGTAGCAAAGTATTGGGGAAATGTGGTGTTTGTATAAACGTAAAAGAATCCTTCAGCCATGTTTTTGGGACAAATTCTGATTTGGGTGTTTCAGAGTAGGAACCAGAGCCCAAAGCATAAGAAAGAATACCTCAGCTTGCCATAGCAGTCACAGAGAAAATCACCAGGCACCCTCCACCATAAATCTCCTTGACCTTTTTAGCAGGCAAAACTAAAGCTATGGCTTTCTGGAATTGCAAGTCACAGAAAAGAGCCTAAGTCCTTTCAGCAATAACTATGTAATACAAAGAAAAATAAAGAATCCACCTCATGAACTGTCTTAATTCTAGGTATCCTCTTAAGCACAGTTGCTTCATACCATAATTTTTTTGCAGTTACTGTTGTGTTGTATAAACATTTTTGAATGACTACTTCTCTTTGGCTTGTCAGTGTGATCAAGTCTCTTCTATCTTTTAAGAAGAATGAGCAATACTATTTTTCCTTTTTTTTTCTTCTTTTTTTAAATTAAATATTAGCTGTGTATATTAATGCAATCATGGGATACAGTGTGGTGTTTTCATATACAATTTGAAATATTTTCATCAAACTGGTTAACATAGCCTTTATGTCATTTTCCTAGTTATTGTGTTAAGACGTTTATATTCTACTCTTAGAAAGATTCACTTGTACTTGTAAGATAAACCACAGAGGTGATCCCTCCAATATTTCTCCTTTTTTTAATAGTCAAAATTTTCAAATTTGTCTATATTCACTATCCCAGTTCTTCCTAGCATGCTCACTCCTGTCCACCTTCTCCCTCCTACCTCCGGCACCAGCTTTACCAGTGACTTTCCCCTAGGTCACCATCAGACCTTACCTTCATCTGATCTCTCATTCCCATCACAAATTGCTTGCAAGTTCAACAGTTTCTTTGTTGGTAGAATTCCCAGTTCCCCTTCTCATTCTCTGACCTCACTTTGAATGTCAGATTTGCTGGCTAATGTTTCTATAAACTCTAGAGTTCCTCCAACCTCAACTATAGAACATTTTATCACACTAATCTTAATTCTTAGGTGATTTCACCCATTTTTAGCATATTAAATATCATGCTTAGGTCAATATCTCCCAAAGTCCTGTCTCTAAGACAAGTATCTCCTTAGAAAACTACAACTTTGCAACTCTCTGCTCTTCATTTCATCTTGGAATATGCCAAAGGCATCTCAAACCTCCTCACAGGACATGGATTTTAACAAATGAACCACAGTCATTTGCTTGACACTAGAGTCACTTTTATTATCCCTTCTTGTTCACCTACTATATCCACCAAACTACCACATCATATTAATTTTACATACTTGTTATTTCTTGGATTCAACAGTTAATCTCATCTCAAGACTATCATTCTCACCTATGACTTGTAAGATTGCAGTAGCATTTTAACCTGTCTCCCTATGTCCACTGTTGCTATACTATAATCTATTCCTCACAGAGCTCCCAGAGTGGTCATTTAAAAATAAAAATATGATCTTTTAATTTTGTTAAATATTACCAATTTTCTAGTACTAGGAAATTCTAGTTTATAGGACCACATGAGGCCTCAGACACTCTGGCCCCTGCCTGGCCCTTCAGCCCCTCCTGGCTCTGCTCTCAGCCACCTGGCCCTCTCTTCTGGACTCCTGTCTTCAGGTCCCGATGCATACTGCTTTTCCCATTAGAATGTTCCTCTCCTTCCCTGGACCTCCTTCATTCATTCATTTTTCAAATACAAGCACAAATTTTTCTTTCAAGTGTTTATTGCAGCTGACAACTGCTATTCACTTCTATTACATCGTGCCTGTGCCATGCCTGTTTTTCTTACCCTGAATTTAAAATCCACGAGGTTCAGTAACTATGTCTGCCTAATATGCCCTTCACCCTACCCAGTCTGAGCACACAATTATGTATACTAAAAAAAAAGCAAGCAAGAATTTTACATAAGGGTATACTGTTTTTCCTCAACTAAATTGAACAATCATGGAGAATATGAATCAGGCCTTCAGTGTGTATGTCTTTTTAACTTTAACAGCTAGAAGTGTAGCATTCTTCCTTCAAATACAATATTATTAAAACTCCCATATATAAAACAAATTTGTAGTGCAGCTATTCCAGTTGTGAGGTGGGAGTTGCCTGCATGGCCTTTTTACTCTTTCCTGGTGTGGACTCTCCAAGTCCCATGGTCCCTTGGTACTCACCTGTGGCCACGGCCATGCACCAACAGCACTGACATCACCACAAAGCTTTTCAGAAAGGCAGAATGTAAGGACCTACCTCAGACTGCTGAATTAGAAATCTGCATTTTAACAATCCCCTTCTATACCCAGAGACTTCTATGCGCAATAATGTTTGTATTTACTATACAAAAACCCTTACAACCATGAATTATGTGAACTAGGTTTTTAAAATTAGCTTTGTTAACTAAACCATTGATAGAGCAATATTGTGGATGACTGTTAAAGAGATTTCTCTACAAATTTGACCAGGAATGATCAAGAGTGTTCTCTATTTCTACCTTCTACTCTGAGTTTCCTGCCAAATAAGGATTGATTCTTTTTTATTGGATGTATTATCCTACAGATAGGCTTTAAACATTAAGAAATGTCCTAAGACTAGGCTTGGATAACAAGCTCAGCAGTATTCAGTTATATGGAGTAAATTAACAGTTTTACTGGTTGGCTTATTTAATTACAAGTATGTGATCCAAGGAGCAAACAGTGAGAAAATGATGCATTTCTATGCAATATTTTAAAAACAAAGCTTGAAAACAAAACAGTACAAAAAAATCTTAATTTTTATAGTTAGATTATTAGGTCAGGATCCTTACCAAACTGTTGCTAACTTCAAACATTTCTCTCAAATCAAGATTTATAACTTTCTGATCAGAAAATCTCACAACAGTAAATGTCTCTTCCACCTAAAATACCCACTAATTAGAGGAGAAATGCACCTATTAGTGAGATGATCATAGACAAGACTGTTATTTAGAGACTAATAAAAAGATTTTGCAATTCTCCTTTCTGCGGGCACTTACGTGGAGTTGAAGACTTGAAAGCAATGAAATCCTTCTCCACGTGGGCCATCGTGATCGCGTCACTCCAGACACAGCGCTTCAGCAAGGGGTGGCCATGTGTGTCTGCAGCGGCTTCTCCCAAGTCAGCGGCCACCCACACCATCCCACTACCTCCTGCAAGAGACACCATGTTTAAATGGAAGACGTGATATTTACATACACACACACCCCACTATGTCTTTACCTTTGTACATTTGATCATGTCATTCCTTAAAAAATGCAAGATCTTACTAGCATTAGAAAGACTCCCTTACTGACAGGGAATAATACAGAGAACAGCTAAGTCCAGAATGACCATGTTGACAACATTCCCAAGTGATTTGGGACATTTCTCATTATTCTATGTTATTTATTATTTCTTAATAGAATGCTATAGACAATACAATACAATTTTTTTCTGGGCTGGACCTGAAAATAATACTTAAATGTTGTTTCCCATACCCATCCTCAGGAAAATGATAATAGAAAAAAGCATGCGGTCACTCCCCGGGAACCCCACACCAAGCTTTGCAGCATCCAGGCTGAGACTCACGGCCACGGCAGGCCTGCATGATGATGACTTTGGGCTTGTCCTTCAGACTCCGGCAGTTCTGATTATTGAAAATCTGGAAGATAGTGTCATCGTGAAGAACATCTGGCTCCTGCATTCTGTGCTTTACCCCACAGATTCCTTGCAGGATACCATGCGACATGAACACCAGAAACGTGCTATCTGAGGACTGGTGTTCTGGGCGGGCCGCAAATTGCTGTAGTTCTTTCTCCATTTCCTGAAAGAGATTCTAGAGTCACTACTGAGGAGCTCTCTAGACACAGTTTGTGCTCAAACAGCAGATGGAGTTCACAAAAAGGAACTGGCTCTGAGGAAACAGGTGGATCTGGACCAAATGGAATGTAAGGGAAATGGTGTTCTGACCTAATACCACAATTTTACATGTGTGGAATGTTAAAGTGAGAAGCATCTAGCCCAGTGGATTTCTAGCCCATCACTACGTAGCATCTAGCCCAGTGGATTTCACCAGAACTTTGGATTTCTGAAGGTGCTGGCAGATGGAGTGAAATGAAGGCGGAGTGAGATATGAAGGTAACAATTGGGCTACTTTGCTTTAATCTATTTTAAAGTGGTAGGTTTTATTTTAAAAGAGAGAGAAAGAATAACAGAGAGATAGACAAACAGGTTTTCTTTTGACAAAAATTAGAAAAATTTACCAAATTCCTTCCCTATAGAACAGTAGAAAGTTAGGTTTAAAATGTTCCATCTAAAGGGACTTGGAGAAGACCTAGAATCGCCACTTTTCCTTCATATGTGTGTGTGTGATTTTTGCAACATTAGACCTGCCTTTGCATTTAGACACACAATATTGACATTGTAAAAATCTCACAAGCTCATTCTGTGGGTATCTAGCAATTTCAGGGTCTAGAGCTGTTGTCTCATCCAGACCATCAAGTAATCGCTGGCTCCTACACTGAGAACTTCAGAAAGGCCCAACATTTAAATAAAAATACGGCTAGTAAAATACGGCTATGTAGATTGTCTCTACATGTTTGCACTGAAGAAGGCTGAAAAACAGGAGATTCTTTTCTGAAGCAAATACAACTCCTGTAATAGCAAATACTTTGCTTGTGCTGCTGTCAAGGAAGATGCCGAAAACTGCTTAACAAGTAAGGGATCTTGGCCTCCCTCGGGGCCATTACCTCAGCAGTGAGATTCTCTTTTACAATCACTGAGTATCCAAGGTTTTCCAGCAGGTCTTGCATCCCCAAAAGGTCAATTTCAGAACCACATCGATTAGGTAGATAGTTGAATTCTTTGTTGCAGATGATGAGGGCTAGGCGAGTTCGGCCTTCCCTCTCCATCACTGGATATATCTGCAATTAAAAGACACAGAAGGATTCACCCCAGCCTCCTCTTCCCTTTTGCCTCCAAAGTTCATATAAAACACTCCAGCCTAATTATGAAGTGGGTGAAAGAACACTTGGGAATGGAAATACAGCCTCATGAGGAAAGAGACAAAACCCCAACTGAAAACATGTACTCGGTGGAGTGTCCACTCAGGGAACTCGGCTCCAGGTATGAGATGCAGAGGTGTTTTGTGAGTTTGCAGATGGATGGGATGAATCAAGCAGGAGAGGCTGATGGGAAGAACACTGGATTAGATGGCATCCTGTGCTCTCTGTCCTGATCTCAAGGCCTCCTGGTAAGTCTCCAGTGTTTTGTCAATCCTGGGTCTCCCTATTTCAAAGCATATTACCTCATCTATCATTTTTGTCTTCATTTTATGAAAACGATCACGGGAGCAAAGCTTCAACTTGTTAAGTTGGGTACACTGGGTTTCCTGAGGATCTAAAAGAGAAAAAAATACACCTTATTAAGCAATGATTAAGCAGTAACATCTGCGGCCTTGAAATCATGTGGCTACTTCACTAGGACCTTAGTCCTCATGGATGCAGACTGCCATTCCATGGAAAAGTTCAATTAAATTAGAAAGTTTCTTTGCAGCAAACAGTATCAATCACCTTCTAAAAACCCTCTCTTTGGTCCTGTTTCCATTCCAACTATTTTCTGCTTCACTTACCTATAACATTCCTTACAGGCATTGACTATTTTCACTATTTCCATTTTGTCTTCCTTGCATACAATCCAATCTGGCTGTTACTCTCTCTACTTACATAAAATGCCTGTCACCAAGGCTACTACTGGCTATATTTGCTGCTTTCTTAGCATTTCACATGGTTGAACCCTTCCCTCTTCTTTTTCTGGAGACAGAGGCTCACTCCCTCACACTGAGTAGAGTGTCATGGCATCATCATAGCTCACAGCAACTTCAGACTCCTGGGTTCAAGCAATCCTCTTGCCTCAGCCTCTGGAATGGCTGGGACTACAAGTACCTGCCATAATGCCCCGCTAGATTTCTCTATTTTTAGTAGAGACAAGGTCTCACTCTTGCTCAGGCTGGTCTCAACTCCTGAGCTCAAGCAGTCTACCTGCCTCTGCATTTCAGAGTAATAGGTCCATATCCTCCTTCTTGAAAGCATTCTCTAGGCTTTTTGTATGCTACATTTCCAGCCATTCTTCCCAAATATGTCTGTCTTCATGGCTGGTTCTCCTGCCATTCCTCCAAGAGTTGGGTTGTTCTATATGGGACACATTATCATTTCCTGCAGTGCTCTTGCCTGGGTGGCATCTTCTAGCCTCATCTTAAATACTGTCTATGCAGTGATGAATCCCCAGATTTATTCCCAGTCCTACTTTCTCTGTGAACTCTTAAGCTGGACATCCCTCTGCCTACTCAGTCTCTACCCTTGAAGGTAACACATTTCAAACTAAATGTACATCTCCTAGTATCTATCCACTCCTATAAATTGTTTATCCAGCACACCAGTTTTCTTCAACTCATTAAATGATATCACTCACCTATTTGGAAAAACCTAGTGTCACCTTTGATTCCCTTGTCTTTTTCATATACCACATTGAATCCATTTGTTAGTTGCCACTGATTCTGCCTCCAAAATAGATTCCAAATTTAACCACTTCTCATCTCTGTTGCTATAACCCCAGTCTAAAAGCCATTATCCCCTAACTGAAATATTTAAACAATTTTTATCTGGCCTTTATGATTCTACACTTATCCTATCACTCCTCTGCTCAAAAATTTCTAGGGTAGTATAAAGGATGGCAAAATTCATCCTTTTAAAATTTATGCTGTAAACATCAGGTCATATCTTTTCAGTTGCAATTTACCTGGCTCTGTTGCCATGTAATGGTGTCAACATTGGCAGAGAGACAGAAGCCAGAACCAAGAGTCTGGTGGGGTAAAAGTAAATCCCAGGAGGGAGAAAGAAAGAAAAGAGGGAAAAAACAGAGAAAGGAGAAATAGAAGGTCCGTGGAAAAGAAAATAAAGCAGATGTCAAGAGAAGGGAAGAAAGGGAAAAATAGAATGAGGTAGTGAAAGAAAAGTGGGAGATTAAAAGTTCTCTTTCACTGAAGAGTTGTCAAAAAGACTCTCAGCTGGGACCACCTCATGTACATTTTGGTGAAAGGGAATGCCAAATTCATACCAAAAGAGAGTGATTTCTTATTTTTCATATTGCTTTTGTTTAATGTCAATTTAGTTTAGAGCTAAGATTATAAACTTAGCTTTCATGAAAGCATTTTTTAGTCTTTATATAAGCTTTACGCACTCATTTTAGTGATAGGTGTTAACTGTAATAGATGGCTAGGCTGAACAAAGGATATATAACACACCTAGAACTTGTAAGGAATGTCAACTATGATAACACAGTTGCCTTAAAAAAAATTTAAGGCTTTCTATTGCAATTAAAATCCAAAGTCTTTTCCAGTGACTAAATACCTCTAAAGTGGTTTGACCTGGATCTGACTCCTAAATAGCTCTTAGTAAGATACTGCCTCTAATGTCCCACTTCCCAGTCAGATTGGCTGTGACCTTCTTACAGGACAAGACCATTTCTATCTGGGAGTCCTTGGTCTCATTTTTCTTTTCCACAGAACTGTTTTGCTTGGAGTTCGGCAGAACTCCTCCATATTTCAAGTATATACTAAAATGGCACTGCCTTGGAGAGGGCACAGCTTCCCCTGATCAACTCCTCCCACCCCACCTCCACCCAACATTTGGCCTGATCTTTTCTCTTGGGTGCTCTCTGAAATGATCCCATTCATTTTAACACGTTTGTTATGAATCTGCCCTTACTAACTGCACTGCAAACACCACTAGAGCGAGATCTTTCTGTCTCACTCACTGCTATAACCGCTGACTAGAACAGCACACTAAAGGTGTTCAACTAGCATACGCTGAATGGATATAACTTTGAAAAATGATTATAAGTTTCTCATTACTTGTAATTTTTTTCAAAACGTAGGAAGACAACGTTATCAACACCCCCCCTCCAGACACTACAGGTTTTAATGTAGCCCAGTAATGCAATAGTCTCCTTGGTGACCCTGTAGTACGTGTGACTCGTGCTGAGTTGTATGGTCTTGTTTCTCATTCTGTATGTGCTTTTCTTAACTATTTCTTAATTCTGTCTTGCAGCTGTAGTTTCTTATACTTTTATCAATTGATAAATTATTCTAAAAATATTATTATCCTATTTAAAAATATGAGTCTGAGAAAGGGGAGGATATTTACATCAGAATGCATAGTCTGTGGCAGGGATGGTCTCAAGGTATTGTAGCATTTTTGGCTTTTGTGCCAGTTCTCTTTCTGTTACTCCATAGCACAGCCTTTTTAAAATCTGCCTTAGCTCAAATAATGCCCTTACACATCCACGAATAGGAATTACCTGTCAGCGCTAGACTTGAGGTCTGAGCCAATAATCCAGCATCCTGCTCAGTTTCTTCATCTTCACTGTCAGCTCTGGACTCTGAGGAGAATTGAGGGGCAGGAATGTAAGTGCCAACCTTACTTTTGAGGGACTTTGTTAGAGGCAGAGGTGAGAGATAAATCCACATTGTCTGAACCTTGACACAGTGGTCTTTGCACTGTAACCTAACCTCCCTCTGCACCCCCACAGGGATGTCTTACCCCAAATGATGTCTGGAGGATTCTATGAACCACTTGGTTTAATGCTAATTTACCCATGGGGGAAACAGCCCTTGCCTTGGCTGATCAGCCTTCTTTTTATCTCTACTTTCTTTTTTAGATGATAAAAAGAAAGCTGGATCAGACTTCTTCAGATTCTGAGGTGGAATGAACAGAAGTGAAAGAATCAGTGCTCTACTCCAAAGGTCATTTCTAAAGATGAAAATGGATTGAGAACACAGGATTCCTAGATCTGTGCTTGGACACCTTCCCATGTCAACAGAGGTCACGAGTTTCTGACTAGGACCTGGGATTAGGAAGCTATTACCTGCTGAAGAGGAAGATGATGCAGCGCTTTCCTCAGATTGATCATCCTCATTTTCAGAAAGACATTCTGACATAATATCAAAAACAGATTGTTAACAGAACTAAATTTCTAGAACATACACATTTCAAGTTTTTCCCTTTGCACTGATGAGTAAATGGGACTATTCTATGAAGCCAGGAGATCTGGCCTATTCCCCAAGCTGCATGTTTACTTTAGAGAAGGATAGCCTTCTGCTAAGCAAAAAGGGAGGCAGAGTTTGCAGAAAACAAATAAGAACTCATTATCTTTTTGCTTACAGATGAGATTCAAGGAATAATCAAAATCTTTAACCAAAGTTTGTCTCTAGTAGCATTTTCACTATGGGGAAGGTAAGTCCATTTGTGCATAAAAGTTAGTCTTTCTACAACAAAAATAATCTCAGAGGGATGTTGCAAGAATAGAAAATATACCCATTTGTATGTTGTACTTTAGAGTAGGGGTTACTAAACTAGAGCCTGCAGGTCCAGACTGTAAAGTTTTACTAAAAACACTCAAGTGTTCTTATTTTCTACTGCTGCTTTTATGCAATAATATCAGACTTCAGTCATGACAGATCATATGGGCCACAAAGCTTGAAATATTTACTACCTTTCAAAGAAAAAATGTGTCAACTCATGCTCTGGAGAGAAAGAAACACCTCTGTGTTCCATTAACCCTCAAATTACTTATGCCTTCTTTTAGTAGAAATACTGATTTCCAGACAATTCCTTCTGAGGTAAAACCAAAGCCAAGCAGAGGATAGTAGAACATTCTTTATCTAGGAATCGGGAATGGACTCCACATTGTACAACCAGAGAAGCCCAGACTAACAAAAGGTGATCACTTAATTTAATAAGGCTCCAGCACCATTCATTCATTTAACAAATCTTTCCTGAGCACCTGTGATGCTCAGGTGCTCTTCCTATGTGTTTGGGATGTATTCATGAACAAAGTAGAGCTCCCTGCCTCATGGAGCTTACATCTCAGCGGGCAAAGACATAACAACATAGTGAAAAAGTGAATTTTATCAAATGATTGAGGATAATTGTTAAAGAAAAAAATGTTTAGCAGTATAAAAATAATTGGGGTAGATCAGGGTACATTTTGGTAGCAAATAAGATAGTCAAATATCCTAGAACTGAGGATTGTTCATTCTTCACTTGCAAACAGGAGAAATAAAGGAGAAAGGAGCTGCATGAGGAGGTGGGAGAGAAGGCACACTTGGCCCCTCGGCCAGCGGCTCTACTCACTCAAACTCAGCTGAACCTCGGTGTTGAGGAAGTGATCTGTGAGTATTCTGCTGGCTTTTTGGGTTTTCTCTTTGATATCATCAAACAGGTTTTCAGTGCTGTTCACGATGCGAGTCACACCTTCTCCTAATTTGCGCAATTCATCCGTATTTAACACACTATTTTCCATCAAGTCATCAAAAATGCCATCGAGCATGTTGCTGGCCATCAGCTTCACTGCGTTGACTGGGTCTTCCTCCAGGGACCTGCCAGCTGTGAGAACAACAGGATCTCAGATGGACAGAACTCCCATATCCCATTCTAGCCTTGTGGTTCTCAAATCTTAATGTGCATTAGAATCATTTGAAGGCTTGACTAACAGGACTTCCTGGCCCCATCCCAAGAAGTTCTGATTTAATAGGTCAGAATGGGGCCTGTGAACTTTCATTTCTAACAGTTTCTCAGGTGATGCCAAAGGCTCTATTCCCAGGAGCACACTTGGTGTCGTGCCCATCTTGTTCATCCTTCTCCTTTTTCACAAATGCAGAGAAAAGTTTAGAGAAGTGAAACGACTTTACTAAAGAACTTAGAGCTGACTTAGTGTTCAGCTAAGAACTAGCTCAGAACTTAGCTGACTAGTGATTCCCTCAGTTTTTTTTCATTTTTATTAATAACGAGTTTAAAAGACATTATCTTCAGTATGTGCAGCAGTAAAACATAAACACATTACACTTATAACATGTCTGGTTTTGTTTCTACTTGTCCGGAGTGGCGGGGCAGCTCAGCCTGCAGAGGTTTAGGGCACACATTACAGCGGACTGACTTGCAGCTGCCAGTGAAGGGGCGGACAGAGCAGAAATCTGGAGGAAATGCACATTACTCTGCTCAACCGCTTGAGTCGTCCCCTGACGACAGAGTTAAGTAGGTGGGAATTTCTGTTCATTATGAGTTAGAATGAAAGCCTAAAATTATAGGAAAAGTTTAAGATTAAGGATCCAGAATTGTTTACATTTGTCTTTCCTTCGAGACACTGTTACATATGAACTAAGAAGACACTGCCAGCGTGCACACTGCCGGCCTCCGTCCCTCCCTCCACGGCCGGAGTGAAATCGCTGTACCTGCTGAGAACCACCTCCACACTTCCCTCTTTCTCCTGAACTGTATATAACTCCCTCAAAATACAGCCGTGAGCAAAAAACCAGAGCTACTCACCAGCCATGACTGTTTCCACTCCAGTGCAGAAGATCTGAAAGTAAAAGCAGTCAGGACCCCGCGTGCTGATGCTGCCTGACCAGGAAAAGGCAGCTTTTCTAATGCTCTTGTTTGTTGCCAAGATGAATTATGCTCCTGCTCTTATACATAAATGCTTTACTTTGGAAAAACGGGGCGCAAAACATGTCTTTTCCCTCTGATAGAACAAAGTTACTGGAATGAAAGCGTGCACATTCAAACGCAGATCTCTGGACTCTGCTTTCCAGCCTATTTTTAAAACTATTAGTAAATCAAATCAAACCCCTATTTGTCCCTGTGCCACTACCAGCCTTTAAATGGTGGAGTCTTCACTGACCCTGCTTTGTATCAGAAGTGTGAGTCTGGAAAATGAAGGGAGAAAGAGCCTGAAAAGGACTGCGAAACGGTAATGCTTCTATACCTGCTTTAAGTCAAATACCAACAGGGAGGGCAGATGACTTCTTTTGTTTTTTATGTTTTATTTTTTATCATGTCCCTGACCCTTTCCCCCCATTGGTTTGCAACTTAAAAGCCCTGAAAAGTAATCTCTCCTCTTTTTCCTCTCCAGATCTGCTCATTTGCCAACTATGGTATTGTTTATCCATGAGATCCAGGCATGTGAGTTTGTTGGTGAAATATACAAGGGACTTTTACTTAAATTGTTTTTGAATAATAGATATATGTTTGCCATTAAAATAGAAACAATAGAACAATAGAAAAGTTTATAAAATGAAAAAGCATCATCCAGCTTCTTTAACTTCACAGGACAAGGTAACCACAATTATACGTTTAGCTTGCATCTTTGCAAATTTCTTTCTTATACTTTCTTATACTTAATACAATACTGACTTTTATCAATGGCCCTAATTAATGGTCTCCTTGTACCCGTGTCCTTTGCCTCAACTCTAAACTGGGCCTTTGGCTTGGTTTGGGCCAACATGACACAGTAGAGGGATGTTCTGCAGTTCTTGGCCCAGGTTTTACAAAGCCTGTGCACTGCTCCCTCTTGGACACCTGAAACTCTACGCAAATAAGCCTGGACCAGATCTCAACATCATGTGGGAGAGAGTCCAGCTGTCTCAACCAAGGCTGTTTTTAGCCAGATGCCTTCCAAACACATGAGAGATCCCAGCCTGGTCAGTAGAGACACCTACCCTCTGTGCAGGTGACCTCAGACACAGGGATGCTACCAGCAGAGGCAAGAAAAAACACTCAGCTGGCTGGTTCCCTTGGGAACAATAGTCAGTGCTTACTGTGTTAAGCCGCTGAGTTTTGGAGTGTTTTGGTACTCAACAACCTATAGCTTTTTTTTCCTATAGTGCCAGGATAATACAATCATATTACCAATAATTTACTTTTCATTCTTGACTTCACAATGTATGACAAATATTTTTTAAAAATCAGCACACTAAGGATTATCTGAGTTTTGGATGGCTGTATAGTATTAAAAGTGCTGATGGATTAAATCTTAATTTTTTCAAATTGCTACATTCACAAGGTAGCTAGTCCAGTAGTTCTCAGGCACATAACCAAAACTATATTCTCCAGTACAGCTCTCCCCACCTTAAGTCCCCTGCGCCAGATGTCATTTCCACAAATTATTTCTGATTTTGTTTTCTGGTGGTAATCTTTAAAGTTCTCAATATGGACAATTTTCTCTCTTTATTTCATGACATATATAATACACACAATGCCACTGACTTCCTCACAAAAACTGAGATGCAGCTCACTGACACTGAGCCCTCTCTGTCCTGTCTGAAAGATCATGATGTGACTTTCAATTCTTTTCTTGATTAACTTTAAAATATTAAATAATACAATCAAACTGTATTTCTTCTTACATTGACATCACAGTAGCTTAATTCTCCTCTATGGAATTGATCATAGTTCCCCTCAGGCAATTTTCTTCATCTCTCTTACCTCTGACGATATCATCATTTTTCCTAGATTTTTACTGTGGCAAAATTATGTAACACAAAATGCACCACCTTAGCCATTACTGAGTGCACAATCCGGTGTTGTTAACACACATCCATAGCGTCCTATAACTGAGACAGGGAACCAGCAGGCACTGCTTAACACCAACTCAACACAGACTCAAAGAGCCCCTAACCACCCTAGTAACAGAACAAGAACTATCAAAACCAAGATGAGAAAGACACTGGCAGCCCCCTCACCTCACAGCTCATTACACCCTAGTGTAATATATTAGCATGCACGCTTTCCCTCCTTAGCTTATGATGAAGCCATTGCTTAAATTAAAAAACAAAACAGGGGGGCGGAGCCAAGATGGCGGACTGCAGCCAGCTTTTTACAGAAGCTCCCATCCAGAAGGAGGCTGAAAGGACAGAAGCTTAGCAAATTAGCTGATGGTTTGGAGCAGAGACAAGAGAGAAGATTGAAGAGCGCACTTCAACCTTCCTGAGGCGAGCTGCAACCCCAATAATACAACCAAAAGCTGCTGCTGTTCCACTGCACCCCAGCTGCCCCAGCACCTGAGAATTGGGAGAAGACAACAGACATGCTCTGCCTGCTCTGCCTGTCTCTCTGGACAACGAGAAGAAGCCATCAACTGAACGGTTCTGATAAGGCCTCCAAACAAGGTAAACTCAGCATGTGGTGGAACCAGCGGAAAAACTCTGGCAACTCAGATAACCAGAGTAGATCAACTCCTCCAAGGGCAAATAGGGAAGACACAATTGAAGACCCCATCCACAAGCAAATGGCTGGGATGTCAGAAATCGAGTTCAGAATGTGGATAGCAAATAAGATTAACAGACTGGAAGGAACGAAGGAATTAGGAGCTCAAGAAAT